AACTTGAAGACAGTTGTCATTTTCCCCTGAAGTGACAGATTGAGTTCATTGAGCAGGCTAAATTGTCGCACAAGTAAGCCAGTTTTGGCGCTCAAGTGACCGAGATGTAACCGAGAGAATGCGGTCATTTTTCAAAATAAAAGATCGTTCAGACTCAGATAATAAATAAAACGGAAATGATTAATGATTTCTTGTGCGGCCCGGTACCAATTGATCCACGGACCGGTACCGGTCCGCGGCCCGGGGGTTGGGGACCACTGCCTTAGATGGCTAAACCTTAAGGCTTGTGAAACCTTAAAATCCACAGCGACTTTCAGGGGCTAACGCTGCTTAAAAGTCAGAAAATGGTCAGCCAGTAACCCAAAATGTAGCACAAACCAGGAGAAACAGGTCAGAGGGGAGATGGTGTCAACACCCAGGATCAACCCCCATCAGAGCCATTTGAGACATCCAGTTTTGAGGCAGGTTCAGGATGGTTTTGGAACATCAGTCACATGACACCTGCAGCAATGTTTTGTTCTACTGTTTCTGCTGTGGCTGCAGTTCAGCTTTGTTGCTGTGCATAGTCAGGGTTTTGAAACATTCTAAAATATGCCTATTTCAAATGCATCCAAACTGTATTGAAGATTCGAAATAGCCATCTCTACTGTAGGTGAGGGTCCAGAATAAATGGGAGAAAGATATCAGAGTCAGGTAGGCAAGGTGCAGGCTGACAGATGGAGGCGAAACCAGAATGACAGACTGAAAAACAGGTATAAGCAGGACACACCCTTAACAATGATCCAACAAAGACTGGGCCTGGTGAGGGTTGCACGAACCAGGAAATGGCTTAAAAATGGCTTTAAAGAGTCAAAACATGAAGAGGTGGTGGATTATGACACAATAGATTTGGCCAGTTTATCAGTTTAGCATTAAAATTTACAGTATCCTACAGGCCTATGGCCTACATCACTTCAGAAAGGATTTCCACCGCTTCATTTTTTTTGCACATTTTACTGCTGTAAATTCATATTGAAATGACAAAGAAAGGACTTTTAAAATGTGCAAAAGTGAAGGCTGTGAATCCTTTCTGACACGACTCTATTCCTGTGGAATTCATAACAGCTTGATGTATTTTAACAACTGCATAATATCATATGATGATGTGAACAGCGAAATAACTCTTAAACGCTCAGGAATAACACAGTTTAACCACGAAGAAACTGATCTATTTTGATCAAAAACACATATAGATTACAACTGATAAACGTTCAATTCATAATCAACTGAAATGTGCTAATAATTTGTAGGAAAAGACTAAGAGCTGTTATTTTGCTCATGTGGTTAATGAGGCAAAGCTATGGAGAAAAACTAATAATAATGGAAAGTACTACACCACTGCGGTTTTTCAGTTTAGCAGCATATTTACCAACACTGATTATGTGAATGAGCATAGCTGCACCTGTGTTCATTTGAATACACCTCTGCTAAGGATCTTATGCAAATGTGGTTCTGAAAGGCAGCGTAGGTAGAAATATACAGTAAGTTTACAGTGACCAAACTTTAATATGCTTGAAGCTGCAATCACAGTCAAATCACTTTTTATTTTGTTCAGTAACTGAAGCCTGGTTTGACCTGAAAGTACAGTGGCTCTAAGAGCTCAGTGCACTGTAACTTGAGAAAACACATGCAAATAAACAAAACACTAGCAAATTAGGAAAACACTTTAGCTTTACATGTCAGCAGCAATATGAGCTCCTAAATGTAGCTTCATGAGCTGAACCTTTTGGTGAAACTACTAGCTGGGAGCCTCGACACCTAAATGAGGCTTCGTCTTGCCGTCACTACTAACAGAGAGTCGAATTGAGTAACTTCATTAGTCACAAATGACATCAACAAGCATAACCCTGCAGTCTCGGTCACCAGGGGCATTGCTGGACATAAAGCTCTACTGGGGCACAAGCCGCCCATTAATTTTCTATATTTGCAGCACTTTCTGTATTTGCTGTGCGTTTTCTAAATTCTGCTCATCTGTTGTCAAATTGGTGAAAGTGTTTTCTTAACCAGCTAGTTTTGTTTATTTGCATGTGTTTTCTCGGGTTACTGTGCATTGAGCTCTCAGGGCCATTGTATGAAAGTTTTAACTATTACCGGTTCTTTTGTCTATGCATTTAACACATAGAGCTCTAATACATGGGATGCAACAACACCCACAAAGGACAAGAATGGCAAGGAAGACGGCCACTGACATCATAATGGAGGTAATTAGGCCCTTCCATTTCCCAAACCACCTTGTTAGCATCTCAGAGAAAGGGTCCTCGACCCCTGAATTTTCAGCCAATT